TTGTCAGGCATTCAAAATTATCAACTTTAAATATTTTATTAAGGTAATTGTCTAATATTTTAGATAATTACCTTACTTTAAATTATTTTTTGAAAGTTCTATCGTTAATTTTAAATTACTGGAAAAGAACATAATCATAATTTTTTTATCTTTTCAATTTTTGGTAATATTCTAAAAACCCTCTCTTCTTTAGATCTACATCAAAATAAAGTTAATACAGTTTACTTTTTAAAATATATCTAAAAAATTTATTTACTTTAGTTAATGGTTAATCGGTTCATTCTTTATACCTTATAAGGTATAAGGTGTCAACTTTAAGCTTACAAGCTTACATCATAAAAAATTATCCTATTAAGAAAATAAATGGTTGATAACAACTTTAAGATTAGTACTTTGGAAGTTTTCACATTTTTATACTTACGCAGGAGAAGGATTGCGGTGTTACACGTCTAATGAAACACAAAATTTATTAATATTTTTAGAATAACTTAAGTTAAACAACTTGCATAAATAAAAATAAAGTAATCTATTTCTTCAATATCGAATATCCTAATCCGATATTGAAATTTAATTTATCTAAGTTACCATTTAGTAAAAATAATATTCAGCATATCACTNTTTATCTAAATTACCATTTAGTAAAAATAATATTCAGCATATCACTCAGACTTGACCTATAAAAAATAATAACCTAATGTAGTTGGGACAAGTATAGATTATATTTGACGGCGATGTAAATAACTATCATAAAAAACGTTTCCAAGCGAATATGTTAAATTTTATAACAATTTGTAAATCTATAATTTTACGATTGATTGTTAAAAAAATACTTTGTTGGGACATTATTCAAATAATTAAAATTAAAGCAGTTTTTTTTTTTTGGAAAAATTGCAACAATTTTTTCTTTGATGAGCAATTTCCAATGAAACAATAGTTGGGGTAATATTTTTAAAATTTTGTAGTTTGTTTCTAGAGCATTATATTAGTTTATGTTAGAAAATGTAGAGTCCCAAAACCTAATCGAAATTTAAGTTGAAAATTTTTTTTTTAATCCGTTGAAGACTTATTCAATCTATTCCTATAGTTAGGTTTTTCATTGAATTTTCTTAAAAATCATACAAAAAAAACTAATTATCTCTGATATATTGTGTTGAAATTTCATTCAGATTAGTAATAAAAAAAAAACCTATAGCAGTTTTTTAATGCAAAAATAATCGAAAATGTTCACTATCTACGGTATTGTAAATTTGAGTTTTTTTTTTAATTTACAGTAAAGATTAACTACCTATTAAAACTCTAATCTGTTAATTGTTAATAATAAAAATTCTAATAATAATAACAATACGATTATGTACATTGTACATCACATAATCTTTGTAGCCGAAGTTTGTTATTATAAAGATTAATAAAAATAAAAAAACAATATTTAAATAACATATGTATACTTCAACAATATTTTATTGTTACAAATGATTACTATTACAAACTCAGCTAGTTTTTTAAACAATTATGTAAGAATAGTTTTAGTTATTAGAAGGGTAGGCTTAATTTGATCCCTGATTTGTACAAGATTGTTCCATTTTTTGGTATATTTATCCTGTTTCCATTGGAAGCTGAGAAAGCTACACTACAATAGAGCTCGGTACTATGGTAAGGCTATGTTGTGCCCGGTACTATAGCGGTTCTCAAATGTCAACTTCACTTTTTGGTATACTACCCCGTTGAAAAGCCTCTCTCATTTTTCATGGATGGTATTTTCTATTTGCAAGCAGGTATACTCAAAATTAATTACTTACAAGGTATATAAAAAAATATACAGAAAGATAATACTATCTATAATAAGATACTAACTACAAAGAATTTGTAAAAATTAATTCCACTCAGTATTATTAAAAGATAATACAAATGATTATAAGAAGATAAAATAAATATTATTATTAATACAATAAAGTCATTAAACAGAAGTACATTAATTATGAATGAATTTTATGGGATAAAAATAAGATGAAATAAAAAAAATTATAATTATTAAACTTTATTACTTATTCACATTAAAATAAAAAAGTTCACTTTTAATTTAAGAATTAGTGACTATTTTACTTCCTTTTTCAATTAATAAAATTATTGTTACAAAGAGTAATAATTTTATGACTTAATATTATTAAAATGTAAAAAGCACTTTTAAAAAAATCATGATATCGAAAATTTTCCAACTAGAAATTATATATTTCTTTACGTTTTTAATTTCTTTAAATGTTTTAGTGCAGTGAAATATTTACTGTGTCATTTTAAATATCTTACACAATATCTGATATTGTTTATAAAAATGTAATTTTTTATTCTTTTGACCAAAAAAAAAAATGTATAGAGCTGTTAGCA